GGAATCAAAGTTCACTGGGCAGAGGAAATGTTAGCTACAAAAGTATGGCGGCACAAAAGAGCCTATTTGGAGAACGGTGAGACTGGTATGGGGAGTAAGGTGCACAGGGGGTGTGGAGGGCAGTCACTGCATATTCCAGGTTTATCCCTTTCCTTCCTGTTGCCACCATTCAGTCTCTCGGGCTCTTGTACACTTGTTCTCGCTGGTAGGCAGCAGATTTGTGTGTGTGTTTGTGTTTCTCATGTTTATTTATTTTTAAAGATTTATTTATACAAGAACTGGGGTAAAGGCAAGAGGTGTGTGTGTGGGGGGGGTGACAGGATTCACCAGAGACAGAGCGGGGGACAGAACAGGCAGATTGACTGAAACACACTGCTGAGGGGAGCAACGGGCAAGACAGGAGAGGTCTGCCACACCCTGTGGGTTGCTCCCCAGCTGGCCGGCCGGGATTGAACCCGCACTGCAGAGGCTGCAGACAGCTCCACAGCACCGCGCTCAACCCTCTGCACCACTGGGGAGGCCCTTTTTCATATTTATTGATATAGCAATTTTTTAATATCAAAAAGGGCAGGTTTATTATATAAAAGAAAGGAAAGGAGAAGAGGACGCTGCTTGCACAGACTCAAGCTGGAGGGAAGAGCTGAGGCAGCAGTTTTAATGAACAAGGGAACTTTCGAGGCTTTGTCTTGGGAGGCTGCGAGACAAGGCTTTTTTCTGTACCCCATTTGCCCCACCAAATCTTAAAGAGTTAAAACAGAGGCTTTAACTCTTCAGTTACATGTGCAGTGCAGATAGTCTCAACAACATATTTGACATTACAACACGTTTTATCAAAGCTGTATCCTTGAAGCAGCTGTTTTTTCCGGGGGGGTGTGGGGAGCAAAGGAATGTACATTCCAAAGTATTGCAACCACTAATGCATGATCTCATTTCTTAACCTAGTGATAGCTTTTTTTCCTTCCTCCTTTTTTTTTTGGTAACAGTGGAAATTTAATTTTCACATTTTAGGAGTTCTTTCAGGTGTGTCACCATAGTTCTCCCACCACCAACATGCCCACAATCCTCCAACACACTCCAGCATGCTCTCCTTCCACCCCACCCTTCCCTGATGCCTCAGATCTACAGTCTTTCAAGGGCCAGCCTTACAGTTTGTCTTTTTCTGATCCTCTGTTTGGTTTCTTTAGATTCCACATATTAGTGAAACCATCCAGTTTTTATCTTTCTCCTTCTGACTCACTTAGAATAATCCCTTCCAGGGGCCTCCCTGGTGGCGCAAGGGGTTAAGTCTCAGCACTTATGAAGCTGTCAGCAGCCACTGCAGCACGAGTTCGATCCCCAGCCAGGGAGGTGACCCACATGGCGCAGGAGACCTCTCCTGTCTCGCCCGCTGCTCCCCTCAGCAGTGTATTTCAGTAGCTCCGCCTGTTCTGCTCCCAGCTCTGTCTCCAGTGAGTCCTCTCACCCCCCCCCCCATGCCTCTGGCCTATACTGCAGCTCTTGTATGCATAAATAAATAAATCTTTTAAAAAGAAAGAATAATTCCTTCCATCTCTAACCATGTTGCCACAAACAGCTTGAGTTTATCTTTTTTGATCACTGAGTATACATACGCATCTTCTAGATCCACTCATCTGTTGTTAGTAGCTCTGTACCTGGATTTTCTTTCTCCATTTTCTCCTTATCCTACCCCCAAATCTGTTCATATATATATATGTCATGTTCCCCAGGTACGGTTACGTTCTGTTTACTTGTCACATCATGTGATCGCTGATGAAGGTGTACACGTGACTCCTGACAGCTGTGGGTGAGCTCACACAATAGGATGAGAAGGAGATAGAGGGAAATGGTGAACCTGAGTTTCAGATATCACTGCTGTGGTTGTGTCAGCCCAACCACAAGGCCCTGAATCTTGGAAATTGTGTTCTGTTTTTAGAAGACGCAGTCTGATCTCACCCTTTAAGTCTTAAGCTGCTCCTCTCACCTTTTTGTTTTCACATTGAAAGCATCCTCATTCTGGTAGTACCCATTAGATTACCAGATTTTTTAGATGTTAAATATTCTGCCACAACTTCCTATTTCCTGATGCATGGCAGGCATTATTAATCTCTGATAAGCTCTTTCCTACCAGTCAGATTCTCACTCCAGATTGCCTCGTCTTACTGGCCAGACAAGGCATGAGATAAAATCTAGTTGCTTAGTCCAGCTTATGTTACCTTCATCCCAACACACACACAGTGCACACAGGGTGTTTGTGGAATGTTCTTGGGATGTGATTAGGCTGGGAGTCAAAGATCTGTGTCCTGCTACATTAGCATAGAGTTGTGTCACCTTCTGAAAGAGCCTGCTTTCCTTCACCCTCCCCGCCTTTTCCATCTGGATAGCATTTAAGAAAATTATTTTCTTTTAAGAGATTTTCATTTTTTCCCTCTCTTAAAAGCTCAATACACAGATGTCCCCAAAGCTAGGGATATCTTACACTGCACTGCTGTTATCTGTTGCATTTAAAAACAAGGGAAACAGTTTGACCGGATCAGTTTTGCACTGGTCAGACGACACAAACAGCATTACACACAGTGTAAGACACAGTATTTTATGAGATAAAGGTTGTGTAGAGATTGTTATCCATTTTATTTGATCAACAGATGAAGGAACTGGACATGTTTGTGCTGGAAAAGGAACCCTCAAGGGAAATCAGTTACTATTTTTATGCATCGGTGGGAGAACTGTATGTCATTTCAGAGGGCATAATAGGCCCTGTGCCCAGAAAGTTGTTAATTCAGTGAATCATCTCTGAAAAGGGGTTCTGTAGGCAAATACATATGACAAAAGCCTGTGCCGTTTTCCTTTCCTGGAGATTTTCAGAGAGAGAGAGAGAGAGAGAGAGAGAGAGAGAGACTCCTGCAATGGTATGCAGTAAAAGATACTGTTAAACTTGTTAATCCCAGCATTCCATAAACACCCTCCTCAGAACTGGTTTTCTAAGGCGCTCTCATTTGGGTGTGATTCTCAAATTGGGGTAGTGCGACCTAGCATTACCTGGCAAGATACTGGAAATACATCTTTTTGGCCCTACCCTGGACCTGGAATCAGAAAGTCTGGGAGCTAGCCCGAGCAAGCTGTGCAATAAGTCCTCTAGGCCATAGTGATGCTGCTGAACTGTGAGAAATGCTGATAGAAAGTTCCACCACTCTTCTCCAACTCAACAGCACCCTTTTTGTTACCTTCATAACATTTGCCACAATGTTTATTTTTAAAGACATCTTGTAATGAATTTCTGGGACTCCGATGCATTTAATAGATGGTTACCCTCTGAGCGACAGAAGGAAGGAACACTTGGAAAAGGCCTACCACAGCTTTCTACCTAGTGTCAGTGCCAGCTCCCTGTTTTCAATTTGCATACTTGAAGTTATCCTATGTAATGAATCTCTATCTTCTATAAAATGGAGCACACATTTCTACGTTTCTATAATGTAATAATCCTTAAATTCATTGTTCCTGTTGCCATTTTTAAACAATTATCTACTGATTTTCATTTACTTCAAAATGTCCTTTTTAAAAAAAAAAAAACTTTTTTAAAGATCTTTTATATACCTTCTCCCTGTCAAAAGCCTATCAGATCAGGGAAGTTTGGAATTTCTTTGCATTAGCAGACATTAGATTCTCCTATCATTGTACTTATTTCTTTAAACAAGCATGGCACTTATTAAAAAAATGTATTATCGTTTTAAATGAATCCATATATAAAAGCAAAAATGACTTCTCATAAGCATACATATAGTGGTTGCCTTAATTTATTTTAATGGGTGTTTTAAATGTGCATTTTGAATGTTTATAAAAAATTCCTGTTAAGTCACATAGAGGAATTTCTTCTGAAGGATGGTTGAACGTATTAAAGTGTCACAATAGATTTAACTTAATTGCATTCAACAAATTTTTCATTAGTGAATTATGGCCAAATTTATATTAATTTCTTGATATTTGCTTTGGCGTGTCTTTTTCATACAAAAGAGTTCCCTACAAGTATATTACAGTGATTACCTTTTAAACATACAGGGTATACTTATAGGAGGACTAGAGGGGAAACCAAATAAAGGGTAAGGAAAAAAAATAATAATAAATTAAAAAAACAAAAATAACCTGTAATTCAGAGATATTCTGCAAGGGAGGGGAGGAAGAAGGATCAAAACAGGGGATCGACGAGCACAGGGGACTATGGTGATGGTTCTTGGGTGAATTGGGGGTGGGAATTTTATGGGGGATATGCCTAAAAGGAGAAAGCAGACAAGCATATGTTATACAAAAATGAACAGTGATGCAATATATGTATACACATATAAGTAAAAATAAACATACAGGGTATGTTGGGTGTGCATTTTGATTGTTCATGTGCAATATCTTATTAGGAAGAATATTTTTTTTCTGAAAGACTGGAATGGGGTTAGGTGTGTCAGCATGTTACACTATCTGTCACGTACGTACATTTAGAATAAAAGTACAAGCTCTCCCTTGGAATAGATTTTAGCACATTTATCTTGACACCTTAATGTTATGTCACATTTTCTTTCCACACGAATAAGGGTTTCCTAAGTCAGACGGAGTTTTATTTTTTTTTTTAGTTAGGGGGACAAAGTCTGGTGGTCTAGAGACTGGATTTTGATTTGCTTGCTGCTATCCAGCGCAGAATGCCTTGGGGTGTCCACTCAGAGCAATGAGCGTCAGTGGCAGTATAACTCCAATAACCCCCCGCCCTCCGGCTGGCAGGGGTGTGCAACAGTCTGGATAGAACATGGTCAGTGATGTCACCTTCCCCGCCAGGACACCTGCTGCTGCAAGGACCTGTCTCCCCCCCCCTCCCCCGGAAGAGAGCAGCCTGAGGGGTAGAGCTAATTGTTAACTTCAGCGCCATGTTTTCTAAAGAGTGCCTAGCAGCTTTCAGGGTGTATAGTAACCTTGCACGTAGCTTTTAAATTACACTTTTATGCTTATTATTCTCTCTTTAGTTTTCCTCACAGGAGAAAAAGCTAATTCAGTATTGAAACGCTACCCAAGAGCCAATGGGCTTTTTGAAGAAATACGACAGGGCAACATTGAGCGCGAATGCAAAGAAGAAGTCTGCACATTTGAAGAAGCGAGGGAGGCTTTTGAAAATAATGAAAAAACTGTAAGTATTCTGGCAATTTTAGAAACAACTTTCAGTGATTTGCCTACCTTTTTGAAGTTGTGTGAAATCTGGATTCCCAAATGTGTGCATTGCTACCCGATGGGAACACCCCTAGGGAAGGACTCTGTAAGGAGCACCCAGCTAGGAAATCTCTGTGGGCCGGAGAGCTAGGATCACCTCCTGCATGTTGGTCTGTGTTTGAGCACCCCACTTCCACCGGGCTCTGCTGAACTGAGATGTATCATCTTAGCAAGGAGTGAGCATCTGTGTCACAAGGGGCTTCGTCTGGGAATGTTACAGATAACATCAGCAGCCAGGACCTTACTCTGCCCAGCCAGAGAAAGCGTGGAGGAAGCTAATAGATGAGGGCCCTGCTTCCAGATGTTTACTTCTTGCACCAAAGAAAAGACCTGACAGTACTTCCCTCCCCAATCTGTGAGAATAGTCTCACCCCTCTTTATTCTGGGCTGTGAGCTCCTCAAGGAGAGCAGGGATGAGGGAGCACTAGGCAGTGGTGGGAATTCTATAGAACTGCCCCCAGCTGGCAATGACATTGCCAGAGGTGACCATTATATAAAGGTATGAGCAGAATACTAGATAAATGATGTCCAGTGCACAGAAGAGACATCAGATATGTCTGAAGATCAGTGATTACAGAAGTTTTTCAAAAGGGATTGGGGGGGGGGGCGGTGGTTTGAGTGCTTGTTTGGTAGAGAAGGATCCAGGGTTAAATGGAAAGCCTTTGTCAAGGAAAGATCAGAGAACCATTGTTGCTCGTTGCAGTGTGCAGAGCAAAGCAAAATTAGTTGATAAATTGATAAACAGCATCATTGTCCTTAAATCACAGTTATAAACTGGGAAAAAGAAACATCCACAATCCCATCATGCAGTCACAAGGTATCGTTGGTGTTTTAATTTCTTTCCAACTTTTTTATTCTTCTACTTTTGCTTTGTCCTTGTTGATATTATTTCACATGCTTATGTTTTCTCTTTTTATAAAATTAAATCATTAACTGTATAAAGGGAAATTTAAAATATAGGTAAACAGAAATTGTTGGAATTTTTACCACCACCAGTTGTATGATTTGGATACATATCCCTCTGGCCTATAATTTTTAATGAGGAAAACTGACTGTAGTGTAGTGTTTTGTAACATGCAGTTTTTAATGCACTCTGGCTCAGGTATTTAAAACTTAAAGAGAATATTTTTTTTAAAGAATGTAAATTTAGATATTCTGATATGGTTTTTACAAAGCTAATGACTTTGTCCTACAGCTCATCATTATCCTTCAAAGAAATGGTAAGTACTTTATTTTTGTAAATATTTATTTATGTATACAAGAACTGGGGTACATGCCAGAGGTGTGAGGGGTGTGAGGATTCACCAGAGACAGAGTGAGGAATAGAACAGGCGGATTGCCTGAAATACACTGCTGAGGGTAACAGCGGGTGAGTCAGCAGAGGTCTGCTGCGCCTTGTGGGTAGCTCCCTGGCTGGGGCTCGAACTCATGCTGCAGTAGCTGCAGATAGCTCCATAGGCTTCATCCCAACCCCCTGCGCCACCAGAGAGGCCCGGAATGGTAAGTACTGTAGTGAAAAATATTTTGACAACTATGTTCCTATTTTATTGTTCACCAAACTCTTCTACCCACTAGTTTTAACTTCTGCTAGTGATGATTCTTAATTGGATCAATTAAAAGTTGCTGAAGTGAATTTCTAACTCCATCATTTTCTGTGTACTTGTTATACACAGAACATTCTACAGGTGGAAGCTTTCCCTTCATGTATCAATATGGACTTTTATTCAGTGAGTTATAAACTATAATCCATTGTTGTTATTTTTTAAATCAAATTGTCTCAATTTGACGAATGAAATTTTCTTCAAATTTTCTTCTCTCTCTTTTTGATGTATCCTTATTTCTTTTTTGAGCACTACTTTACTTTTTGGTCCAGTAACATGCTCCAAGATTCCCTGCCTCAGCCTTTGAATTGGCTGTTTCTCTGAGGAGCCTGTTTTCTTTTAGTTAGGAATAATGTTTAGAAACCACGATTTGGGAGCTATAGTATTATCATATGTACCAAGATATCCTTGCTTATGGGTCTTCCAACAACAGAACTATGAAAAAGAAAACCACACAGATGCATACAAGCATGTATATGTATATACATGCACATACATATGTATTAGTGTGTATATGTGTATGTTTGCATATGTGCTTACAAATTCATCCTGATCTCCAATTTAATAGAATCCCTTGGTGTTCTTTCCTTGTTTTCCTCATTCTATATCTGTACATGAGATGTACCACACTTGATCTTAGCCAAAAGGCCGAGAAGCGATGTACATGAGGTGTAGATATTTTTTGTGGATGTTCTTCCACAATGAGATCTCTGGCTCCCAAGAAAATCAGTATATTAACTCATTCGCTCAGTCCCACAATATACTCATAATGTTTTCAGGATTGTAATATTTATACCATAATGGGGAAGGGGAAAAATGTGTATTAATTCATTTATTCATCTGTCCATCCATCGTGGAAATTACATGTATTCAGGGATTTTCCTATTTTTAAAGGTAGTACTCCCTTGTAATGATGTGCCATGGTTTATTTAATCTACTGTATTTGGACACTGAGTACTTTTGAGTATTTTCACAATTACACCCAATGCTGCAGTAAATGATGTGCATATGTATTTCTGCATTATTGGAAGTGTGTCTTCAGGGTGAATTCTTAGAAGTGGATTGCAGTTCAAAGGGTTAATGGGAATTAGCTTTCTTGGATACTGCTAGAGTATTCTCTGGAGGAGTCATACTGTTTTAAGCTCTCATCAGATGAAAGTGCCTGTGTCCTCACAGTCTCACCAACAAGGTGGATTTTGTAAATTTTGACATCTTTGCCGGTCTGTTGATGGGACAGGATATGTAGGTGGTGTTTCTTCTGAGTGAGGTTGCTTATTTTGCTATATGTGTGCGAGCCATTTTTATATCAACCTTAAGCACTGTCTTTGTCTTTTGCCCTTTTTCTTTTCCACACAGAAGAACTGGGGTGTAGGCCATAATTGTGGGGGGTAAGAGGATTCACCAGAGACAGAGTGGGGAACAGAACAGGCAGACTGACTGAAATACACTGCTGAGGGGAGCAGCGGGTGACACAGGAGAGGTCTGCTGTGCCATGTGTGTTAGCTCCCTGGCTCGGGATGGAACTCAGGCCATAGCAGTGATAGCGCTGAGACTTAATCCCTAAGCCACCAGGGAGGCCCTTTTTGCCCATTTTTGAAATCAGATTTATGGTTTTCTTTTCCCTCAATTTTTAAAAAGTGTGTTGGTAATACTAACCTTTATTGGTGACATATGCTTCAACTATCTCCTTGCAGTTGTCATTTATATTTTGACTTTGCATATGGATTTTTCCTATGCAAATTTTAAACAATTTTATTGTAGTGATAAATCCATATTTTGTTGAATTCCAACTTAGATATAATAGAAACCATTCCCCTATAACCTGGTTATAGAGAAATCCATACAGTTTCTTCTAATATTTTTAAGTTTTTACATTTAGATCTCTTATGCACTTACAGTTCATTCTTGGGTATTGTGTGAGTTATGGATCTGCTTTTTTTTTTTTTTTTTACATTGCTATTAGTTGTCCAAACACCATTTATTATGCAGCCCTTCCTTATCCCCATCATTCCAGTTCCTCTTTAGGTTATAGCTGATTTCAATATGTGCTGAGTCAATTTCAGGATTTTATATCCTAGTTCACTGAGCCATTATTCTGCTCAAACATCAAGTACCACACTGTTTTATAGAGGATTTTTGATTTTTAGAATAAATTGGAGCTAGTTCACCTTATAAGCTCTTCCTTTTCAGTGCTTTGTGAGCTGTTCTTTTCATGCCTGTTTTTCCATATAAATCATAGTATTTGTCTAGGTCCCAACAGAATAATCTGTCACTGAAAAAAATCCTGGTAAAAGTCATTTGTAAATTAACCTAAGGGGAACTGACATCTTTAAGGTACTAAATCACTCTCTCCAAGAAGAGGTTTCTATTTGTTGAAGTCAACATTTTTGTCTTTCAGACATGTTTTATAGTTTTCATCATACAGGTTTTACCTATTTCTTAGATTTGATTCCAAAGTGTTGTTTTGTTGCTGTTGTAAATGGGGTGTTCCTTTCCATGACATACTGTAACTGCATGTTATTTGAGTATGTGTAAGCTGTTGATTTCTTTAAACCTTACTTGAGTTAGAATTGGCATAGTTAATTATGCATAGTTAAGGTATATAATTTGGTAAGTTTTGACCTATGTATATACCTGTGAAACTTTCATCACAAGATAGCAAACAAATTCATCAACCCCAAACATTCCTTTTTTTTTAAGATTTATTTATTTATACAAACACTGGGTACAGTCAGAAGCGCGGGAGGGTGAGAGAACTCACCAGAGCCAGAGCAGGGAGCAGAACAGGCAGAAGGATCAAAGTACACTGCTGAGGGGAGCAGCGGGCAACAGGAGAGGTCTTTGTGCCATGTGGGACCCTCACCCGGTGGCCGGGGATCGAACCAGTGCTGCAGAGGCTGCGGGCAGCTTCACAGCCCAGCACTCAACCACTGTGCCACCGGGGAGGCCCAACATTCCTTATTTTTAGGTCAGTGCAAGGAAGGCTTTATTTTTGTTTCTATTAAGATAATTTAATAATTTCTATTAAGATCATTTACAACCCTGTGTGTTTTAGGTGTACGGGTTCACAGCTCCTCAAATATATGTTACCGGACCACACCCACCACGAAAGTACCAGTAATCCTCAACTACAGTCAATTAGGCCCTCTCCTGCCTTTGCTTTCCTCCCCTTACCTGTCTCCATAACCTCAGCTCTGCATTCAGAATCCAAGGGTTTGTTTTGGTTTGGTTTTGTCTGAGCCTTTGTTTGTTTTGTTATATTCCAGATAGCAGTGAAATCATCTGGTATTTGACTTTCTCCTTACTTTTTTCACTTAAT